ATAATATACATTGCAACTATTATTTTTACAATGATAATGATACAATACAACATAGGTTATACAAATGAGTACAAAAGATTTTAAAAGTTTTATTTACAATGCTCCGACTTTTACATTTTTATTTATTTTTTATTTTTTTAAAATAGTTATTTACACTTTTTTTTTCAAAATTGCATTACTCAATGTCCCTTCTTCGAAATGGAGCACGATATGGCGAAAATTGTGTCTGTCCATTTTTGGTTTACCACTTTGTTGCCTTAAAGAGTAATAATAATGATGATGATGATAATAATAATAATAATAATAATAATAATAATAATAACAATAATAATAATAATAAACACAATACAAAACATATAATTTCGATAAAACAAAAAAAATACTACTAAATAATAATAATAATAATCTAAATTTACTACTTAATAGGTATGAAAAATAATAAAATACAATATTGTACTTACTCTTCCAAAAGACTTCTACAAAGGTCTTGTGCTGTAACTTGCATCATTTCGGCAAAAGTATCGCATTAATCACAAAATTATAAATAAACGCCGTAAAATATATAGCAGATAATGCTACTCTCAGAGTATACTTTGAAATAATGTAGTTACTATTAGCTAGGCATTATCTGATAAGGATTCCAATCTAATTAATTAGATATTCGTTATACTAGCATCTGATTGGTTACTTAATCTGTCTTCCGTGAAGTCAAGCATTCAATGCATGTATGTAAGGCTTCGCGCACATAATGCCTTTTCTCAGAGTATTTATAGTGAAATTTGCAAATAATGCCCAATTTTAAAATAAAATTTCATATTTCCAGACATATTTTTGGAAATTAGATAAAGTAGGGTGATAGATTAGACATTCAGGGGTCACATAAGCTAAAAATCTCAATTTTGAAAAAATGTACTTAATGCCTTTTCTCAGAGCAGGGCAGCATAGCGCACCATCTTTCAGATGAGACGTTTAAGCCGTTGGTCCCGTGTGCATTTATGGCCCATGTGCACGTTAAAAAATGTAGTACACTCTTCGGAAAAGAGTAGGGGATTGTCTCCCGGTGTACTGTCCAATCACCACCAGAAGGACCCATTGGAAGTAAGTCTTCTTCTAGACTTTTGTGGGTTATCCTTGGTGTTTACACCAAATAAATCCAATCCAATTATTGACTGACGATAAAACTATGTTTTCTCAAGGAAAATTTAATATTGTTTATGCCATATCAGCCTCATTAATGGTTTAACAGTTGATTTCAAAAAAGGCAATAGTCAAGTTCACTTGTCCTTTTCAGTTTCTGCAACAATAATCAAAATATGGCATCTTCAATGTACTAATAAATTAATGAATATTAAAATTAAACAGATTGATTGGTGATGGAATATCCAGACATTCAGCAAATGTCCAATTTCAGCCTAGCACAGAATATAAACAACATGAGAGCAGCTTTATAGTCAGCTAAACTTGTGGTATCCACTGTGTGTGCTGAACCGTGGAAATCTCATGGTCCCCGGTTCAATTCCCATCGCTGCTCTCTGTGTATTTTAGCTGGAGGACTGAAAATGCAACTTACCATAGCGCACTATCTTTTATTTTTTTTAATTTTTATTTATTAGACTTCACACAAGCAAAAATACAATAAAATATCAATGAAATAAAAGATTGCCGGTGACAGGAAAAGGCCAACAGTTGAATAAATCACACCTCTGATAGCGGCCAATCCCAAACTGCACAGCCAGATTTAAAATCAAGTATATAAAAATTTAAAATTGAAAACTTAAAAATGTAACATTTAGATATTGGTTGTGTGTGCATTATGGCCCATGTGCTCGCTTTTAGAAAAATCATTGACAAATTGATCAGACGTTTAATGTTTGTTTAAAACATATAAGCAACAAGTAGAATACTCAACTATGTTTTGATATAATCATAATTAATTATATTCAACAAATTAAACATGTTTCTACATTTTCACATTAAAATTTCTACACAACTTTTTGAAGGATAATTATACCGTAAATTATATTACAATAAATATTTAATACAGTATATATAAATTTGATGATTATTTTTCAGATTGTCATTTAGTTCCATCTCCTGCTTCATCAATGTACTCCTTGAATGATGCCTGTTCATCATATGAGCAAAGTTGTTTACACCAAGCTCCCCAACACAACATCAATACTCAACGAGTGACAACATCTCCATCCTATCAAGGCCAAGCCTGTCCACCATCACCTTTCAATGTGACAGTAAAGTAAATGTTTTTGGTCAATAATTTCTTCTTTTTTTTTCTAATTTTTACGAAACTTTTTACATACTTTGTTAAAAGCGTGGCTCATCATTCCCTATCTAGAGAATTATAATATTTATTATATTTAATTTAATATTTTCATATTTATAATAGAACCCATTTAATATTAAGCTACAGTTCTTTCACAGGCCTCAGATATAAGTTTTTAAATTTATTTATTTGATCTAAATACCTTAAAACCTCAAATTGAGGCCCTGGGCTTCTTTTTTTTTTTTTTTTTTTTTTTTTTTTTTTTTTTTTTTTTTTTTTACAAACTTTTGATGGGCTTTTTTTCGAAGCTAGTTTTGCAAAGTAAAGATGGGGCTTCTTTTCAAAATGAATACCGTAAGTTTTGGGAATTATTCCTATATGACCATAAATAAGGCCATTGTAACATCCATCTGTATCATGGAGTGTACCAGCATTAAATCACTTAAACTACTGTATAAACCAAACATCTTTATAATTTAATTTATTTGAAATTCATGCACAGTGTATGTACTGTACTATCTGTACTATCTATCACATTTTGTGTTGCCAATAGGAACGGAGAGATCACGTGGTATCGTGACGTATTACACTGTAGTACTCTATTTGAACTATTTTTTAAATTATTGTACCACAAGACTCATTTTGTCAAGACAGCTCACATATTCTTTGCTGTTTAATCAGCACAAAATATTTTACTATAATTTTGGTAAAAAGTAACTATATTAGTAAAGTGGAGTGATTTCAATTTGTATCTAATTGGAAAAAATGAACATTTATAATGCAGTTCTTTGTTTTTATTTAACACATTTTTAGCCCTGTACAGAAAAAACAAGTGACATGCTTTAATATGGGTCATGATGACATCACATTATGACCATATATAGGCACATCATGATAATGGCACATCATGACTATATATAGGCACATCATGACTATATATAGGCACATCATGACTATATATGGGCATATATGATACAGCAGTTGTTTGTCAAAGTAAATTTGATAGGGTGGCCAGAGCTGATATATAATACTATAAGCTAAATTGCCACCGATTATTTCAACCAAGCAGTACTAGGTAAAGACAAACTTAGCTTGCTTTGAACAATATCACATATTTTTGGGTTCATGCAAGGAGCTGACCCCAGAGCCTCACTGCTGTTCTTGTTCTTGTTACCAACGCAAAACTTCAAAAGCGTCCAGCATCGCCAGTTAGGAAACGAACTTGCAGGAAATTTTGTACACATAAAACTAAAGGTGATTTCCAAAAAACAGTCCTCGCCCTTTTTTTTAAGTTGGACCCCAGGGTTCCCACTATGCCTACAAAACAAAAGAGGAGTTAAATAGGGCACATCGCATGGATGGCTCAGTCGGTTATTAAGGATGTGTTCTAAAGAACCTAAGGTTGTGAGTTCGAAATGCATCTTGGTATTCTATTATAATTTTTTTTCCAATTTTAGGAAATTTTTTTTTTTCCAATTTTAAGATATTTAGA